AGTAGTATGGTCTCAGTGTACATAAAAAGACAAGATACATTCCTCAAGAATCATAAGGTACAACACTTAATGATAGTCATGGTGTATAAATAAGCAATCAAATCATACTAGGAAACAATATAAATCATAAGGATACAAGCAACAAAGTTACAATCATACAGGTGGGAGGAGATGGATGATAGGAATGATGAGAAGATTAATACTAATGCAGACTTAGTAAATAGTTCGACAGTGTTGAGGGAATTATTTGTTTAGCAGAGTGATGGTGTTCGGGAAAAAAACTATTCTTGTGTCTAGAAAGACTTGCAAATAGCCAAAGCTTTTTAGATAACAATATTTTGTAGTGTCTTACAGATGAATCAGGAACTTCAAGATGGTGGGAATTATCATCAAGGACTATCAAATTATTATTTTTAATGAGAAAAAAGAAATAATTTGTTTGGCACAAAATCCATATCAACTGTATTTATTTCTATTCAAATGTAAAACCAATTAAAATTATTTATTTACCCTTGCCTTGCCTACTTTATGGAGTGTAGTCTGTGGCACCCCAGTCATAGACTAAGCAACATGTTGAGATTGTCTTTGAACTTGGCATTATTACTGTGTGCCAGAAAGAATTTTAAACAAAAGTTAGTACTTGTACAATTAACTGCAATCTCTACAATGGCTATTGTTTCTAAATTACTGATCAGGAATAGCATCAGGTTTTTTATTCCTATACCTTATCATTTTATATCAAACCATCTTAGAAAGCAATATTTTTGATTAGGAATTTAAGAACATTTCTGGAGTTTATCATATGGAGGCCATCAAGAATTGAACTTCAGATTATGTCCCTACATGAAGCATTTTGGCAGATTATGATGTCTGTGCATACATTATTTCATTGTCGGAAATAGAGATATGGTCTTCAATGTACCTTGCAAAGCGCAAAATGTTTGCCTCGCCCCCTTCTCTCTGGGAAAATATTCTGTCTCTCAAGGCCTACAGAATAGGTTTTGTATATTCCCAATCCAACAAACCAGCAATTTCTTTCCACTTCTTTTATTGTGTTTACAGCGGATGAGAATGTTTGAAAACCAGGTAAAATATTTACAGGCCAGATTCCAATATTTAATGGGACAAAAGATGAGGTGGGCAAAACTTAAGAAAGAATTTCCATAATAAACAAGAGTATTTGCCTACTGATAGGCAAATAAAGGCGTCACTCAACAAAGCTCCTTCTTTGCAGGTATGTTTATAAGAGTAAGATTAAAAAAAAATCAACCATGTCTATATGAGCAAACCTCTGTCCTTTTTTAAAAAACTAGGTAATGCCTTTGCCCACTTTGAAGTGAATGTGACTAGATTCAGTGAAGCTTACTCCTGTATAAAAGTGAATAAAACTGCAGCCACAAACAGTACAGATGCAGATTCTTCCAGCATTGTCTTCTATTTTTGTTTATATAAAGTCTACAGGAACACTTTTTGGTAGAATACTTCAAAAAAAAATATCTCTTTCAATAATGCCATTTAATTTGTGTTCTGTTTCAATGAGTTCAATGTGGGAAATATGGATTGAATGCAAAATTCTGTAGTACCATATAAAAAAGACAGATATCTCTCCTATATATATCTACCCTGTTCCTCTGAAAATAAGACCTTCCTGGATAATAAGCCCATTTGCATGCGCTAAAATAAGCCCGCCCTGAAAATATTGCCACACAGCAACAGCCATGAGGTGACCCCACTCGCCGCCTCCTGCACTTCAAAAATAATAAGACCTCCCTGAAAATAAGGCTAAGCACTTATTTTTTTTGGGGGGGGGTTTCAAAAGAAAATAAGACCCTGTCTTATTTTTGGGGGGAAACAGTAATATATTCTTGAGGTCTGGATTCCTAGAAAATAGCTATCCTACATTGCTGATGGGAGGCTGTATAACTAAGGTTGTTAATTGACAATAATCTGGATGCCTTGCCTTTAATTGCTGGTGAAAAATCCTGTCTCCAACAAGAGAAAGAGAAAGCTTCCCTGTTAAAATAAGCATGAAATAAACATTTCTGAAAAAGCACCTTAGCTGGGGTGGAGTGGGGTGGAGTTTGGGAGGAACAATGACAGATACTTCCAGTTTTGTTAATTTCAACTATTGGAGCTTGGTTTTTTTCCAGAATGTTTTTCTAAGACATTCCAGGTAAGGTTTGGTGGAGAAGAGTACTTTGAAAATTAACCCTCAAGTATCATTTGATTTGGCTAGTACAAAAATTCTCATGGAAACATAGGTTAATATCAAAAAATGTCATTCTCATTTCTTAGAGTCATTAAAAAAACATGCATTTTGGCATTATACATAGCAAAATTGACTTTAGGAATTATTTTTTACTGAACGTTTCTTTTTTTAAACTGAAGTATGAGTGGAAATTCATTGTGAATTTGTTCTTCACATATTTGTAATACTGTTACTCTTAAGCAGAAGTATGATTCATTTATATGCTTTTCAGTTTTTTGCGTTAATGAACAATGCATGCAAAATTGTGTGCACACATACACACATTCTTAATTCAAGGAATCACATGGAGATTAGTCATTTCCTGCCCTCTAGTGGTGAAAAAGTTCAGCCAGGTTTTTAAAAAGCATGTAAGTAATCAAAACATTAAAAGGACATCAAGTCCATTAAGTTCTTGTCGTGAAAAGTAATCAAGTTCTTAACCTGAAGCAGTAGGTCTGAAAAAAGCATGCTGACAATGCAAAGCAACTTAGAACTAGGGAGAAATTTCTTGACAGAACAATTAAACAGTGGAATGGCTTTCCTTCAGGTTGTGGATGCTCCATCACTGGAGGCTTTTAAGAAGAGACTGGACAATTGTTTGCCTAAAATGGTGCAGAGCAGGGCTGTCAAACACGTGGCCCATGGGCCGGATGCATCATGCATTGGCCATGCCCAAGCCCGGTTTAATGAAAGGTAAAAAAAGTCCTGATACGTCACATGGTGTCACGGTGACGACGTGAGTTTGACACCCCTGGTATAGGGTCAACTACTTGAGCAGTGGGTTGGACTAGAAGAACTCCAAGGTCCCTTCTGTTATTCTATTTTTTTAAAATATTAGTACAGTTTAAAACCATGTATACTTTTGTCGCATCTTAAGGGCTAACACATGTATCACGGATGTGGCTTTTCTTGGTTTAAGGTTGATTTCTTCAGATGGCAAACGAGGATACCTTGGGCACTTGATCTGTTTTCATCGTTAAACTTTTGTGAATCCAGTTTCTTGCTCAACATGTGATCAGAAATGGATACTGAATTCCAACTACAGCATCTCATCATGATCTGATCATTATGATTCTGTGAATGCATTTGCTTTTTGAGCAGCCACACCATACTACTGGCTCATTCTCAGTCTGTGGCTCACAAAGATTCCTGAATCTAATATCCCTTACCCCACTGCGCTATTTCCCAATCTCTTGACCTCAAAATGTGTTAACTAGAGCCATCCCCAACCATCGTGGCCAAGAAGCAAAGAGATATGATGAAGATCTTTAGGTGCCTTTCCATTATTTGTACACACACACTCCATGCTAGCCACCTAATTTAAAGAAGAGAGATGGATAACAGAGGGGCTTCATAGTTAGTTGAAGAGCTGGCAGCTGTTTACAGATGCTGATTGCTCATATTTAGAGTTTATATTTTCCAATGAAAGGGGAAGAAGGAAAAAAAAAACCATGGAGGGGGACAGTGAGAAAAAGGCATATGAAAAAGAGCAATTAAAGCTGCTCTATTCTCACTTCTCAACTTGGCTCGTCTTTAGAACCAGAACTCCATTTCGTGGTCATTATGCCAGTCTCTGAATTCCTCCCCTAGATGCTGATTGTTTCTTAC